AGGCCTCTGGGCTCTGGAGTGCGAGGCTATGCTCTGCCAGAAATCTCGGGCGTTTGAAACTCTGATTTTAATGGCACAGGAAGTTTGGTTTGTGGTTGTGTATTTTTTTTTTTTTTTTCCCTCTCTCCCCCCCTTTCCTTGTTTCACTGTAGGATTCTGGAGATAGCATTTCTGCACTAAGGGAATGGAGACCGGTCACGTACAGAAAGTGCACAGACGCTCTCTGGTTGCTCCTCTTCTTTCTTTTCTGGGCTGGTTTGGTAAGCATGCTTTTTTTTTTTTCCCTTCCTTCCCCCCCTCCCCGAAAGAAAAATCAGCCCCAAAGTTAATGGGGTTCTGCACAGTGCCGTGCAAAATCTAACCCAAAATGATGGTGAGTACAGGTGTTAGGGGCCCAGCACTGCACTGGGGCAGAACTGACCTTTGGCGGTGCAGCGCTTTATTGCGGCGTCTTTTACACCAGCTTGTAAATTCCCTCGTAGTCTTTAGATGCCGTGTATACGCAGGGCTGGGTTGCTTAGAATTCACTTTTGTAAATTAGTCCCGGCTCTGAGCGGGCCCTTATTTCTACTTACCGCATTCGTCGTAGTCTCGTTATCTTGACACGCGTCCGTCTGATGTTGTCTCAAGTCACCATCAGTCCTGTGCTTAGAACAGCATGCAGGCTTTTGGGAAGAGGCTTTGTCTGTCTCAAGTATGAATGTTTTTGTCATGATATATCTGGGGCTGCTCAGGATTCTCGTGAATACGCTATTCATCGGTTTCCAGTTCCTAATAACTCATTTAATGGAAGCTAATTCAGAAGAATACAGGCACATTCTGAATGCTGCATAAGCTGAAGCTGAGCTTCGTGAACAGGATAGGTTTTTTTTACATGCTGTCTTATGCTTAGCGCTTTGATCACTGGAGGGAATGCCAAAATTTAAGCCTGCCAAATGGTGAGGATTTGGGAGTTTTGTTTGTTTTCTCTCACTGTTTTTATCTCTCAGTTTCTGTGGAATAGCTTATTGCGTACATGTATTTCTTTTCTTTTGTTTGATCTTATTTTTAAAAGATTAAAAGATTTTTGGTGACACTGATTTGTTCACATACTGAAAAAAAATGAAACCACATTAGTAACTCTGTGGAAATGCACATCACTGGCATGTCTAGACACACCCCTCCAGGAGTCATACATCTCTCTATTACTTAACAATATTTATAACTTGTATCCAGTATTCTGCACTTAAAAAAATTCATGTGCACACAGTGTTTGCCATACTGATGGCAATGGACCTGTAACGTCCATCTTTAGAGGGAACGTCAGAATTTTTCTGAAAGCATATTTCGGGTTGAGTTACAATGTCAGCTCATTTCTCCCTTGTCTTCTGAGAGCGATTTAATTATTCAGAAATACTTGCTGTGTAAATAAACTGGATCTGAAAATATTTTGTTATTGTAACAAATACCACATACACAAGGGGAATGTTGGCTTTAATTGTGGAGTCTCTACAAAGATCTCCATGTCAGACTGCATTAACATGAAGAAATAATTTAAAAAAAAAAATATCATTTAACTAGTTAGACTGCAAACATATAAGTGAAAATGAGACTATGCTGGGGACTAAGGAAGCACGTACTTACATGTTTGTGTACGAGACTCAGTTTTTGCCCTGATCCCATCTTTAGTCACAATAAGAAATAAATAGAATAAGAAATAAAGGCTCTAAACCTTAAGTAAGAAAGCAGTTGTGCTGGATCTGATGTGTGCAATCTGTTGCCAGCGCAGCTGGTATTCAACAATATCCGTGCAAAGTAGCAGTGGTTAATGTGGGACTGAGAAGACTTGCTGCTGCCAGCAGCTGGCACGCAGCCGGAGAGCGTAGTGTCTTGTCATCGGGGTGTGTGAAATGTGGTTTACACCCCATGGGACAGAGCAGAGGACTGAATCGTTGAGTTCTTCCATAGCCAGAGTGCTGTAAATAAGGCTTAGGGTAAAGTAGTGCTCAGGACTTTACCAGCTTCCCAGAAGACAACTTGCTGCTGCTTGGCACTTGAAAAGGTTCTTCTCAAGGGGCGTTTTGGCCCTCCTGAGGTACACGAGCAGGGTTTAAGCTGCATTCCTAGGCAGGACGTCTTCTGTTGACTAAGGGTTGCTGCTCCTTGGCCAACAGAGATGCTTAGCTGCCCCTGGGGTCTACAGGGAGCTGATCTGCTGGGGCTTTGATCCACAGCAGCGCATCTAAAACATCAGTGTGGCTCTCTCCAGGTTTTTCACATGTGTTAAAGAATGCATCTTCCTGAAATTTCTGGTAACCTGTATTTCAATTATACTTTATGTGTTTAAAATATACCTCTGATTAAATTCAATAGCAGCTGCAAGGGCTCAGCGTTTCAGCAGATCTGTTGCCCAGGTGTGTCTTGAAGGGCACTCTGAAAAACAAGCAGCAGTGAGCACATGTGAAAAACTACCATTTCAGTGACCTTGCCTAGTGACACACAGGAGGCGGTGTTTAGCACCTTATTACTGCTTTCCTATTATTTTAATCAGGACCCCTATCCTTCTTCTCCTGATATACTCTGCTTAATTTATATACTTTCAGCAATAGGTGAGGGAAGGCTTTAAGGAGGTAATGGGCTAAACTTTTCCATATGACTTGCTCCGGCCTTGTGCAGAGGGGTGAATTTTAGATATAACAGTTTGCATCCACGAGACGAAAATGCATGGCTTAAAAACAGTATTTATTGAACGGGAAGGAAAGGCTACTGTAGCATGATTTCACATTCAAAAATATTTTAACAGATGTTTATAACTGGCTATGCCGTGATGGCTGGTGCCGCAGAAAGACTTGTGCTTGGATATGACAGCTTCGGGAACATATGTGGTAGGAAGAACACTCCTGTAAAAGAGGCACCCCTCTCTGGACAGGACATGACTAATAAAAAGTAAGTACATCAGATAATGTCTAAATAAATCAAATGTTTGCGAACTTAGTAAGATACATGTCTTCTGGGTTGTCAGTCATATACATATGTGTATATACACGTGCTTATATTGAAAGGCAAAAAAAAGGTGTGAGGAAGGTGCAAAATGGTGAGTGAAACTAAAAAGTTGAGATGGAAATCGAAAATGTGCTACACTGTTATGCTTTATGCTGGCTTCTTCTTAAATAGGACTTTGGCCAAACCAGCAGTCATTCTATATGGCAAGTCTTTGTTCTTAAGGAAGTTGCATGTTGAAGTTCCCAGTCATTCTGTTGACTTCCATGAACTTGTCCTTGTAGAATGGCACCCACCTTGGCAGCTTCTGATCCCATTTAAGAACATAAAATGAGGTGTAAAAATGTAGCATATTCTCAAATTGCTTCTTAACTTCTGACTTCAGCCTCCATTTCTTTCCATTATGTGTGGAAAAAAGAGTTTCATTTGCTTTGTAGTGCTTTAAAAAGATGGAAAGAAGGCTCAGAATGTAAACCTATAAAAACCAGAAAGCTTGATTTTTGAAAAGAGGATCTTTTTTTCTTTCTAGGTATGTGTTCTTTCTGAATTCATGCAGCCTGGAAATGCAAAGCCTCAAAATCAGTTCAGTTTCCTTGTGCGTGTCTAGCTGCCCACAAGAGCAGCTCAACTCTTTGGAAGACCTCCAGAGTTTTGCAAGGAATAATGGTGTGCAACAGGGAATATGAGTATCTTAGTGTATCTGTAGAACAGTTGAGCAGCTTTCACTTTGTTATTCTTATGTTTGCTACGCTAGGGAGTCATTTCTTACCATTAATTTCCTGAGCAGACCATGGCAACAGAAAAGAAAGTCTTGTTTCTGCTTCATTTCAAAGCTGTAGTTTCTAGAAATGTTACAGCTCTCTTATGCAAATGCAAAAGTTGCTGATTAATTCCTGCACAACGCTGAGGTTATCTGGCAGAAAACTGGCTGCTGAGAATGAACTAGTGTAGTTTGGTGGGGGTGCCAGCAGGTGAATGGAGCTATTTAAGAAACTTGTCCAACTGCTTCTTTTAAATTTAATTAAAACTATGGTGGAATTATTAATTCCAGAGACGCACAAGCGTTTTTATCCCTTTAGACATCAGATCCCAAAGTTTGTTATTCCACCTGTGATTTTTTTTTTTTTTTAATTGTATTCTGGTGTTCAAGATGGATATGATGTCAGAAGTAGCTGTTGTGCAAAAAAGGCAGCTCCAGTTCAGTCATGTCCAATACGTAAATAAAATAACCCGTAGCCTAACCCTTATTCCATAGGGTATGTGTAAACTGCAGACAATATGAATATTAGTGGCTATTTTTGTTGGAGGTCACAATTCCATTCTTTCTTGTTTTGTTGTTTTGCTGTTTAAATTGACAACATTTGTTTTCATTTCATTTTGGGGTATTTTGCCATCAGTTGGTATGTACAGAAAGCTGTAAACACCTGTGATATTATATAAGGATTTTCAGTGTAACTGAATAAAATTGCATGAAATTCCATCTACATGCTAGGACTGCTTGCGTGTTTATCTCGAGGGAGAGGGCACTATTGCATTTTGAATGGCTTGAATGTATCCAGCCTTTCTTTCCCAGAAGCATTATAGAATGGAGCAGAGCGTTTATTAGCAGAGTACCTGGTAGTATTTAGCCTAGAGCCCAGAAAATGTTAAGTTTCTGGCTAGATATATGTTCTGTTCTAAATCGTGAGGGGCCTCGTTCTAGTGTAGCTTCTCTCATTTAGGTTTTTCTGTTACCTTAAAGAGTTTAGAGCTGAAGCATCGCACTGTGGGACCAATAACGTGCCTGCCCTCCAGGAAATGGTAATTATAGTTAAGTCTAGAAGGCAAAAGATCCCCCCGAGGTTGCTTTAGATTTACCCAGTTAACTAATTGGTTACTTACATTCCCACTGGAATATCAGGGGTGAATATGGCCTGCTAAGGGGTCAAAGCAGAAGTGTAAACAAAACTTAATTGATAATGCGTTTTTCTCTAAAACTTTAATATTAAAGTTACTTTTCTTTTTTCCCTTCTTAGGTTCTTATCTTTGCATTTACAACCTGAACATTTCCAGTTACACACTAAATCCAAAGGCAGCTGAGCTGTGTCCCACACTGCCAGTTCCACCAAGGTAAGAATTACTGGATACTTCACAATGCCCTTGAGTCCAAACAGCTCCTTAAGGACTGTTACTTCCTCACATTTTATATGTGACTTAATGCTTTACAGTCAGAATGGTTTTGCTTTGTTTATTTATTTTTGTACATGTATCCTTATGAGTTCTCATTGTGCTCCTGTGAACACGGCAGTGTCCTGTCCCACAGAATGGACAAGGACTGCATTCCCTCCATTCTTCTACCCTTTAGAGTTTTCCTTTCCAAATCAGGAGAAAAGCACTCCATATGAGGAGCAGCTTATCTCCTGCACAGGCTTTTGCTCTCTCCCTCAATGTCAAGGAAGAGGAGCTGTGGTTTTGGGCCTTGCTTACTACCCGGAACCCAGAAATTTCCATCAGAATTATTTCATAGCCAGCTGGCTTGAAGCACAGGTCTGTGGATGGCACTGTCTTTAACATTTGGCGTTTGTGAGTCAAAATCCTTAAACCCATGATTTTAAATTCCACTGTGTCATGAAAATACAGCAAAGGATTGGAATCTGCATGTTTGCAGAGCTACGTCATCTGCTCTGAGCAAGAGAAAATAGAGGAAAAAAGCAAACAGAAGAGAGCAGGAGACACATAAAAACATTACATAAAGTGGATCAAAGGAAAGCATGTAAACTGGTGAAAAAATACGGCATGTTTTACTTATTTCTTCGACTTTTTAGGCTTTTTTTCTGTTTGGCAAGGAACTCTGCAAAGTTATTAATCTTGCACAGTAATATTTCATAGTAGAAGCGAAGTTGGCCAGAGAAGTTTTTAACTGTTGATGAACAAACCTCTCCTTTCTAGGTATGCATATGGATTTGACTGTTGTAGTGCAGCATCGCCAAAGTGGGATAATAAATATATTCAAGAAGCTTGGCTGGGAGTGCCAAATAATTTCAGGTGTAAATATTTGGCCATGTTAATTGTACCTTACAAACACTGTTTTGATGTGGCTTTTAGAATGCTTAAGCATCACAAAAAAAAATGCAAAGTGTTTGTGGTCTAGAATTATCTACAACAACACAGCTTACAGCTATGTTAGCATGTGTTTAGGTTTTATGTAAACACGTGGGAGCAAAGCAGGTGAAGCCAGACTGGAATAGAAATAGGAGCTGCATACTGGTGGTGACTGAGGTAGTAGTCCATTTTTTCATAGAATAGAATCATAGAATCGTTTAGGTTGGAAAAGCCCTTTAAGATCATCCAGTCCAACCATTAACCTAACACTACCAAGTCCACCACTAAACCATTTAAGGGTGGAGTAGCAATTTCATGTTTCCTGGCTTGGTGGCTGGATTCTTTTTAATGAAAGTAAAAACTAGGAATCATTAAGGTTGGAAAGGATCTGTAAGATCATCGTTCCAACCACCAACCCAACACCACCATGCCCACTAAACCACGTCCCAAAGTGCCACGTCTGCCCGTTTTTTGAACACTTCCAGGGATGGTGACTCCCCCACCTCTCTGGGCAGCCTGTTCCAATGCTTGACTACCCTTTCCATGAAGAACTTTTTCCTAAAATCCAATCTAAACCTCCCCTGGCGCAGGGAGGTTTATCCCTGGTTTTCTCCCAGGTTGATCTTGAATGGGTATTCCGGTACAGTGATACAGGCATGATGCTGCTAGGAGTTTATTTTGCAGATGAAACATAAGACTACCATTTGTGGCAGACCACCCGCATGGCCGGTGCCCTGTTGTGTCGGACTCCCATGTGCAAGGTCTCCTCCTGCGTGGGGAGAATGCCTGCCAGGTTACAGATCCGACTGGCCAGTTGTGGCTGCAAAATTGTGTTGAGGATGCCGGTAGGGTACTGCAGAGGGCTTGAGAGAGAATGGAGGGCTGGATCTCTGTGGATTTGAAACTGTTTCTCCAGTAATTAATATTTTTTACCGTCTTTGTTTTTAACCTTCCAGTAAATCTTTTCCATTATTTAATCGATGTGTTCCACAAAATCCTGAATGCTATTCCAAATATGCATCTGTCTTAATAAGTATGGTTAATGAAATGGATGTTTTTCACCGAATTCTGAGCGGAATATTGGCAGGAAGAGATACTGTGATAGGACTGAGTGTCCTCGCACTAGGTAAGGTTATAAATAAAAAGTGAATAATGATATTCAGTTAAAATGTGAGGTTTCAAATGTTTATATTAGCTTTCTATTTTTTAAATTAAAAGTAATCTTTTTCATATTTTCTGGGCAGGGTTGTTTTTAAGAAAGAGTGATCATGTTTTATCAGGAGGCCTTTAATAGACTGATGAAATACAGCTCTGTGGAATATCAGATCCTGTGTTCCTTGGTACGATCATAAACCTCATTTCAGGGGACTGTAAGAAATTGTTGATGGAAAGAAATGGCATCAGCATGAACATTTTAACTTAAATATTACAAAAAATACTATTGAAAAGCTAATAATTCCCAAGGTGAAATATTTCAGTTATAAGTTCATTATTAGTAAGTTACAGGTAACTGTGTGTTTTAAATGTTAAAAAGGTTGCCAGCTTTACTAAATGCTGTTGCTTTTGAGAGCGCTGTTTAAAAATAAACGCCCAAATTCCTGAAGAACCTTAAATTTATCTTGAAAATAAATAAGAGTTCAGTTAAATGGGTTGTAACACTCATAATAAACTTACTTTTGTGTATTTTTCAGCCTTCTCTTTCATCCTGGTTTTAGCCTTCAGATTCATTCGGACGCTTCTGGTCCATACTTTGATTGCACTGGTTGTATTTGGGTTGTTGTGTAAGTATATTTACCTTCTAGCATATGCTTAGCTAAATGGAGCATCTCGCTGAACTGGAGGAGAGGCAGCTGAACAAACAGCTCTCCTTTTTCTCCACGGCCGTCCTCCGTAACCTTAAGCTTACCGCAGCCATTTCCAAGCTGAGCCCTGCCTGCCTTTGGGTGCCAAGGTCTGGCTGTGCTGTTCCAGCTGCTGAGTGTTGGGATGATGATTTTTATATAGCTGCCTGGAAACGACATTTCTTTTGGCAGATGAATGCAGTTATTAAAATGCTACTGTTTCAAAGTTTCGTGAAGTTTTACGTTGCCTGCTTTAGAAAGGGAGAACTATAGGAATGCGTCCAGCAAAAGCTTGTCGTTCCATGAAAGTTCGCTTTGTATCTCCTCGATGAAATTACATGCCCGAGCTTTAGAATACCTGCAAGAAAACCAAACATTCTGCTGCGGTTTTACCTCAGACTAACAGACCATTGTGTCAGTTTGCTCTGTGATCGTTGATACTGTGCCTCTCTGCTACGCGACAGTATTGCTGAGCTGAGCTTGGGTTAGGCGGAAGGGCGAGAGACTCGGGAGGGAGGCCAGGCAGACGTCAGCCTGCCAACAGCAGTGTGCTGCAGCCTGCGGAGCGCTGCCCGCCTTCATGCTGCTCTTGTTTGCTCAGTTGTCTCAGGTATTCTCTGGTGGCTCTATTACGACTACAGGAACGATCCCAGCACTGAATTGGAAACAGAAAAGGAAAATGTAAAATTTCTCCTCGGATATGCTATCTTCTCAACAATAGTTACTGTAAGTAGCGTTTTACCCTAAGCAATGGCCGAGGCTGTAACTTGAAAACTTGAACTACGGTGGTTCTGCAACAGTAAAAATAATTCCTCGTTCCTTTCAGATTTGAAAATGCGAATCAATTGTAAGATCTGCTTGCACTCGTTTAAATAGTTTTCTGTCTTCATTGTGCAATTTGTTTGCCAGCACAAGGCTCTGCCACGCTTCAACCCTGTACAAACACTGTTAGCAGTGGTGGTGTAGAAATGCAAGAATTGTGTTCCATCCCCTTTCTTCTCTGCATCAGCTAACTGGAGAATCATGTTGAGTGTACAGAGGGACACTGGCTCCATACGAACGTGAGATCTGTGGATTCAGCTGACCCTGTCAGTGGGAGAAGGGGGCGGCAGCTCTTTGAGACAATGAAAGGGGTAGTGAAGCACAGGCAGCAGTGTCTAGGCCTCAAGTTATGGGGTTAAATTCTGCTTTTCTTTTATGGACCTTGTTTTCCAGCAGAAAATCTGAGTGTGGTTTGCAACTTACTTTAAAAGTAAGTTACTTTAAGATTTTTTCACTCTGATGTTGCAATGGTAGAGGAGTCACTGCTCCATATGGGCGTACAGACATTTTGTACTTCATGAGGTATTTGTCAAAATGATTGTTCCTCTGTTGTCTTAAATTGAAGTAGGATCAATAGACTGGAATTCACCAGATATGAACAGTCTGACAGTTTACAGTGACAAATGTAAATGTGTCACAGATCAGATTTTTTTCATATCCTCTGCAAGTTATGACCTTTCTACTTCTGTTGATATTAAAGGGGTAAGAAAAGGTTCCTTCATACGCGTGTGTGTTCCAGCATAACTGGCTGTCATTTGCAGAACTGTGGGAACGTCCCCTGCTGCAGGTCACAGTTCTCTTCAGAACTGGCAGCTTCTTTCTAGAGCAGGCAAGAAAGCTAGTGAAGTAACTGCCACTGGTTGCATTTATTATTTTATAGATTCCAACCTCTCTTTTAATTGCTGTTCATAGTTCCTTGCCATATACAAAGAACTGGGGACATCGTGGATTTTTTGACACAGAGTTTTGCTGTTGGCGTTTTTTTTTTACTTTGGGGAAAAAAACCAGTTTATTTAAATGAGGTTTCATTTTCTCTCTGCTTTGCTTCCATACATACACAGCTCTCAAATTAGTTTGGTTGTGCTACTGTCCTTTCTGCAGAAAAGGACCGGTCCTCCTGCCGTTGTGAACAGTGGCAAGCTGACCTGAGTAGGAAGAAAGTTTAAATGTTCATGACATACAGGGTACGTGAAAGGAATGTGTAGCATGTCACATCCATTTGTGTTTGCTGTAAAGCAAACCAGACTGTTTCCACTGGGTGAATTACAGTTTTATGAATCCTATTGTTTTAAAGAAACAGTAGTAGTAATTTCAGAAAATCAGGTTTTAATCCACGTGCTCTTTGAGAATATAGGCAGTGTCTCGGAAAGCTTTTCCAGTGCACAGTAAGTTTGTGTAAAATGTCTTGCTGTCAATGTCCTCATGAAATCTGTACCCCCGATCCCACATTTGACAACTCTGCTAACTTTTCTTAAGGAAAAAAACCCAACAATTTGTCTTTTTATTTCCTGTAACAGGTTGTTCTGCTTTCCCTTATACTTGTACTAAGAAAGAGGCTTCAGTTCACTGTACAGCTCTTTCGAATTGTTGGTAAAATCATTGGCAGAATTCCGTTCCTCCTGTTCCAACCACTCTGGACCTTTCTGGTTCTCATTGTGTTCTGGGTATTTTGGGTTGCTGTACTACTTAGCTTAGGAACTGCAGGTAAGTGTATGATTTCCATCTTTTTGGATGAATGCTCTCTGTTTCCTAAGTTCACTTCTTAAATATGGGACCTCCTGGTGTTAGTGTACAAAATGTGGGCTAGCACTGTTACACAGCTGTGTTGCTCTCTCCTTTTTTTGGTTCTCACCCCCTTGTTGGAGTCTTCAACATTGCCATCGTTCTGAGAGTCATAGCACTACAGAAGGGAGATTTTGCTCCAATATGTGGACTTTAGTTTTGTTCTTCCTCAGTTTTTTAATTTATGATTAGATTGTGGTAGATACTGTATAGGTTTGATGTGTTTAAATGAAGAAAACAACAGGAGGGAGGAGACAGCTTTTAGTGCAGTTGTTACGAAATGAGAATGTAAATCTCCTCTGACTATGAACACTGTCCAGTTGTCATGGAGGCAGAACGTTGCTTCTGAGCAGTAGTTCAGTGACAACTGCTATCATTATTTAGACTGGTACAGCAGCATTTGGATTAATCCAGAGGTTCTTGCAGTTGTAGGGGAGGTGCTCTGTAGAAATAGTCAATCACTATGAAAGATCAGCAAGAACAGATTTGGAGTGTGGAAGTGGTATTCCTGAGGGACATAGCACTGTAAGAACTGTCGCTGATTGAACCAGGGTAATTTGGATGCTGTCCCTTGGCCCAGCATCACAACATCCAAGGGAGGGGGAGGTTGTTCTTCTATGGAACATCACCCAAAGAGGGGAATTGCTCTGGGATAACTCCTCATGCAGACGACAGCCTTTGTATATAGGAAGCATTATGATTGGGGGTTTAGTTTTGGTTGGGTTTTTTTTCATTTTAAATTTCTAGGGCCACTGCTAGGAGTCAGTTGTTGTCCTTTGGGTTAGAGGTGATGCAGAATTGATGTGGATAGAGAGAGTTGTTTGTCATTCCTGTATTTATTCACAGGTTTTCTATTTTCTGAATTTTGGCAGTGGTTTCTGTGTGGAAAACCAAACACAGCCTAGCTTTACAAATGCTTGTGTGTTACCATTTTATCTTGTGTTTCCGCCACCCCTTGAGACGGTGGCTGCAGTAACTCCTCTGTACAGCCTTACAGATCCCTGCTAGGCCAGAGAAGCCTCCAACCTTTCTGTAGCAGAGTTCATTTGGCAAAACGGGCAGTATTCCCCACCTCCATGGGTCGGGTGCCTCACTCTTCCATCACAACTGCTTCCACCTCAGTCTCACCCTGTTAATTCCGGCCCTCCACAAGACCCACTTCACTTGTAACATGGTAGTCCGTCTGTCTCGGTCCATGCTGGCATTGCAAATCACTCACCCGTTGCTTAGGCTAGGCTAGGATCTGCCTCCCTCCAGCTTTCGTTTGAGAGTCATGCAGGTTTGCAAGGCGCTCTCTGTTTCTGCTGCCTTTCCCCCAGTAGCTCCTGTCTGTCAGAAACGGCTGCTTGAAGCACTTGTCTGGCTGATAACCTGCTTCTCCTGCGAACGGGTCAGACCTAGCAAGGCCGAATGGCCAACCTGCAGTCTCTTTGTGAGCTGTTCCTGGCTGATGAAATAGTCAAGCAGATTCACTTTTCTAGGTGTCATGGATATTCCTTCTCCACGCTCCTCTGAGCTGAATCTTCCCTTTACAGGGGCAGCGTTACGTGCTAGACACAGCTTTGTGTGGTTGTTAGCTTTTCTGCAAAATCTTCATCCCATGTATGCGCATATCAGCCAGGCAGCAGTGATTTTCCAACTGGCCTTGTGGGGTACCTTATCACGGGTTCAGACCAGTCCTTTATAGAAAGGAGCATCTCCTGAGCTATCAACGAACTGTTCATTTCATGCACCTGCTTGGATCAGATGCAGTTTAAGGTAAACATTAATTACAGTAAACCTAGTAGCAGGTAAATAAAATGAATGATAACACACAGATTTGCTACATACATAATTAACAATAACTATTAGAGGAAATATTACATCCTTGATGTTAAGCTGAGCTGGCCCATTACCCACAGGAGAATTCACCGGTACTGTTAATATGCACACATAAGGATGGGAAGCTTGCCATTGTTAAATCTAAATTTAGAAAATGCCAGCTGAGTCTGTTGTATTCAAAAGCTTTTGGAAACGTAGCGATCATTAGAAGAGTAGAAATATTTTAGCTCATATGACAGAAACAGCTCGATGGTAAGTGCAGGATGGGGAACTAGTCAGGTATTTCCTGGATGCTTTTACAGACTTTGCAGGAGAGTAGTGACTTGCACATTATATCTGAAAGCAAATTCCACATGTATTCACAGGGAAATAAAACCCAAAGACAACCGCCTTTGAGAGGCTTTTTATGCTTTTTCCATGTTGTGCCATTTTCCTTCATTGGTTATATTCTGTTTCCTGCTAGACATTTCCATTAAACTTTTTTTTTTCCCCCTGCCTGCTTGGAGAGTAAGATTCAAACAGTTTGTGACTTGCTGTTACATTCATAGTGCAGCAAACATCTTCTGGCTCAAAGTTATTTTATTTTTTTGTCTTCTCCCTAGCATAATAGGAATGCTGATGTTTCCAGCGAGTGATACAAACAGTACAGTACAGAAGGCAGCATAATCTTGCTGCACTGTAGAGCAACGTTAAAGTTTCTAGGATGCTCCCAGTTTTGAAAGAATTGACTTTTTGCAGATTTAGCGTAAGAAGAGAAGGTCATTTCCAGGCACTTGAACTGTCGGTGTGTTGCTCATATGAGGAATCTAGTAAAACAAAATGTTTCGACTGGGATGTTCTGCCAGGATATTTTTAGTGTAGATGTCAATCCTTGTAAGATTTTTCTGTTAACAGTTACCGTGTTAATATTTAGAAGAGAATGGGCATTTGATCAATAACGCAAACCAATTCTAATTTACAGCCTAAGCATGAATGCAGATAGAAAAACACCACTCTACCTATTTGAATATTTTTCTGGTTAAAACTCGATTCTATTAATTTTATCATTTGTATTTGTAGTTATTCTTTTTGTTAAGCTGTCTATGTTAAATGGTGGCTGTTGTTACCCAGCAGGTGTAAACAGAATTCTTAGCAAAGTCCAGGGGCTGAGGTATTTATGTAAATAACATGTAAATGACCTGCAGCAGCACCAGGGCCCGCTAGATGCCGATAAAGTAGTGTGAGAAAGTTTCTTCTGAATCTGCTCAGTTGTTTACAGCTGCTCTGCTTGCAGAGTAACTCCTCCTGAGAGGAGTTCGAAGACAACAAAGGCAATCTGGGGAGGTAGCGAAGGATTGTTTTATTCAGCGCTCAGGTCGAGGAGCTTTGTTGCGGTGACACAAGAGGTCGGTGTCAGCAAGAAGGGTGACAGTTGTTTGGATTTTGAGTCCCATGCTCTACCTCAGATTTGTTTTGTAGTTCTAAACTTGGACAAAGGAACAGCAGACTAGATTTGTCATTGAGAATAGTCCTTTAGATTTTATTTCAAATTTTCAACCCAAATATGAGTCCTCTGAAGTGCTGCCTGTTAAAGCAGCTCACAGTAAGGTAGCTTGTTGGGGGTTGGTTTGCTGTTCTAGGATGACCAGTACTTACCCATCCTGTAAAAATAAATACATACAGTACTGTATGGTTAATAATGCATTGGCAGAACAGCTTTTTTTCTACCGCTTTTCTACAATCGCCCTGTAAATGGAGGACATTTGTTTTGCTTTTTGAGTCTTGGGGACTTTTTGCAACAGCTGAGAGTACTTCTCTGAAGATCTCCCAAGATATGCTCTCTTTGAGCAATTTGTGCTCTCTGTTGACAATAGTTGCCTAGCCAAGATTCATTTTGTAAAATACAGGCAGTGGTTTTCTTGGTTTTGACACTTTGACTTTTTATTCTCACAAATGTGTTTTCTGGGGCTCTGCAGACTATATTTTAAATGCAAATATACCAAGAAAGCTGAAAAAAAAAAAAAGAAATGCTTACAAAGACACTAGTCTTTTGCCTAATACAGAGAGATGGGCAAGTGAAATTGGCTTGCTGCTGTGCTGCACCTGTTCTTAATATTTTCCTTGAATCTTCACTAGTTATATAATGTTCATAGCATCTCTGCATCTTACAGCTCTGGAGCCACTCAATCCTCGCTTCAGCTGTGGTGCACCTGATTGTTATGTGACCACACAGGCACCTTATTTACATCCCCTCCAAAAGTTAGTGTTACTCTGAGAAAAGACTAACTTCTTGGGAGCTATAGAACACTATTGCCTGCACTTGGAATGGTACTTATGCACATGACTAACTTGAAACACATGGATAATCCTACTGAAATCGGTGGGACTGCTTATGGATTTTAAGGCAGGCACCTGCTTAAGTACCTTGGTAATTCAGAATCTGTAAGAGCAGCAGAGACTGAGTGAATTCCAGACCTAGAAACCTAGGAGAAATGCCAGACTCCACGAGACTTGAGGCAGCACAAACAGTGGCACCAGCTAGAACCATTAGCTGGCTAGGAATGGAATTCAGCTGTGCTTTGGAAAAGCTGATATATATGTCTTAGGGTCATTGAGTCTTATTGTTTGCTAATTTGTGTGGCATTTCACTGCAGAACTGAAGTGGCCATGTGGCACAGCAGAGCATGTCTTTCAACTTTCCAGCATGCAGGAGCTGTGAAGTCCACATGGCATAAATACTACGTATGTAATATAGGATAAGGCGGTGTGAGATTTTTGTGTAATGAAGGTGCATCCTACAGGCAATTGAGCAATAAAACTGCCGCATAAAGCTGTGCAGTAGCAAAACCAGCAATAAAAACGTATTTCCTGCAGGGTCCTTGACATTCCAATTACCATCAGCTGGCTTAGCTGTAAATACCACTACATGGAAAAAAGCTAAATAAAATAACACAATAAATTCTGTTGCAGGAAGCATGAAGATTTGGTGTATGATGCCAGAACCTTTCCTCACTTAGCAGTGGGAAGGGCACATCATATTTTCATGTTAACAGGAACTGATGAACAGGCTCTCAGTATTTTCTGGTCAGTGGTTCTTTGTTTCTGATAAGGAAATTGCTGAACTAGACTTCCCAGGAATTTTCGTCCTTTACAACAGCCTACTGCTCCAGGCATCAGCAAAACCTTGCAGCAGCAGTTGCCAAATGAGAGCGTCTGACATAAGGCTGAAGGTACCAAAATGTAACTAGTAATACTGCACGTGCACACTGACTTCAGTATCGTTGCGTTGCTGTGCTGGCTGACAGAATGGCGCGGCGCTGGGCTGCAGAGTCAGATGGAGAAACTTCTGAATTCTGCTGCAAACACTTGTGCCCATTTGCACTGTTAACAACACTTCTTTGAAGTATTTGCAGCAGGTCAACATTTGTACTGATCAGAGGTTTTCAGATTTGGTGATTCAGCTGTAGGGCCTTCAGTTCTGTACTGACTTCTTAATGTTTTCCTGACTTCTTAATGTCACTTCTAAGAGTGATTAGTACACCAGAAAGAATCGTGATTATATAGCTGGAGAAAAATATTCTGTTGACAAATTAGACCATATTTCAAGGCTTTGTTGAGAAAGTTTAGCTTGTGTGAACAGATAGATCACAGTGGAGTGATGAGGAAAATGGCATATACTTTTCTCAGCAGGGTGTCTAGGATAGCTTTAAAGTTTATCCGTGCTACTAAGACTGACATATGAAAGATAGCACTGCATGTAATTCTGTTGACAAAATTCTGCATGCACAGTAGGCCCAGAAGACAGGGAATCAGTCAGACACAGATGTTTGCATTGGTAAACGGATTTCTGTGAAGTAACAAAAACAGTTTACGATATCTAGATAGCAAAGTGATCAGTGGTGAACTCACAGGTGGATGTGCCTGATTTCTACGCAGCAGAGCACAGCGCTGTGCACATGCACATGCGTAAGGTTGGCCAGGAAAGACAAAGCCATTACTATTGTTACTGCAGGTGGTTATTTCAGTAGGCTCGTAAAAAGCAAACAGAATTAGTTTACCATACATACATACATTTCATAGAATCATACAATCATTTAGTTTGGAAAAGACCTTTAAGATCGTCAAGTCCAACCGTTAACCTAGCACTGCCAAGTCTACCACCAAACCATGTCCCTAAGCACCACATTTGCACGTCTTTTGAATCCCTCCAGGGATGGGGACTCAGCCGCTTCCCTGGGCAGCCTGTTCCAGTGCTTAATAACTGTTTTGGTGAAGAAGTATTTCCTAATATCTAAGCTAAGCCTCCCCTGGCGCAGCTTGAGCCCATTTCCTCTTGTCCTATCACTAACTACTTGGGAGAAGAGACCCCCCCCCCCCTCCCTGCCCCCTCCTTTCAGGCAGCTGTAGAGAGCGATGAGGTCTCCCCTCAGCCTCCTCTTCTCCAGGCTGAACCCCCCCAGCTCCCTCAGCCGCTCCCCCCCAGCCCTGTGCTCCAGACCCTTCCCCAGCTCCGTTGCCCTTCTCTGGACATGCTCCAGCACCCCAATGTCCTTCTTGGAGTGAGGGGCCCAAAACTGGACACAGTATTCCAGGTGCGGCCTCACCAACGCCGAGTACAGGGGCACAATCGCCTCCCTGCTCCTGCTGGCCACACCATTCCTCATACAAGCCAGGATGCTGTTGGCCTTCTTGGCCACCTAGGCACACTGCTGGCTCATATTCAGTCGACTGTTGACCAATGTCCCCGGGTCCTTTTCCACTGGGCAGCCTTCCAGCCACTCGTCTCCAAGCCTGTAGCGTTGCATGGGGTTGTTATGACCCAAGTGCAGGACCCAGCACTTGACCTTGTTGAACCTCATACCGTTGGCCTCGGCCCATCGGTCCAGCCTGTCCAGGTCCCTCTGTAGACCCTTCCTACCCTCCAGCAGATCAACACTCCCACCCCACTTGGTGTCACCTGCAAACTTACTGAGGGTGCACTCGATCCCCTTGCCCAGATCCTTGATAAAGATATTAAACGGAACTGGCCCCAGTACTGAGCCCTGGGGAACACCACTTGTGACCGGCCGCCAGCTGGATTTAACTCCATTCACCACAACTCTTTGGGCCCGGCCATCCGGCCAGTTTTTACCCCGCGTAGAGGTCAGTCTTCATGACAAAACTACAGAAGCAAAGCCTGACATGAACTTTTTTATGAAAAACCACCTACTGTATATGGCATAAATTCTTTGTTATTGACAGAAGTGGGGGCAATTTTTTTTAGCTTGAATATGTGAATTTGTTAATGTTCCTGAATACAGTAGTAACGTTGGAGCATATACTACCATATAGATGTCTGCCTTTGGGGTATTTTTTTGTTTTTTGAGAGGCTGCCTTTATGTGCCTGTATTTTGCACGAAGATTGCAAAGTATAGAGAACAAAAAACTAGTTGCCGTCGTTCTAATTAGTAATAGTAATTAAAATAATAATTGTGTTTTGTTGCAATGATATGTTATGCATCCTTAATATTTTTCTGCAGTCTTTCTCTTTTGCTGCTTATAGAAAAAAATCTAAAGCATTTTGTAACTGACTGGGTTTATTTGAAATTCGAATGAAGAAAATTAAGATTTCATTTACTGCTGAAGCATTTGATTACTCAAATCTTGAGTAATGCTTTCTCAGAAATCGTTACTAATTCATAGCTGTCCTCTTGACTTTATTGGCAGCTGTGTCTCAATCCCAATTTAAACCCAAGCTTTTGCTTTTTGTGAGATTTTATTTTTCAAAATTCTATTTCAGTTACAAAATTTTGGTGCTCTGACTTTGCTAGAATGGATAGAATTAACTAGCACCTGAATTAATTTTTTTATAATTTTATTGAAGAAAAGTTAAGAAAAAGGGTACAGAAGCACTTTATATGTACTTTTTATTTTTCCCCCCCTTGTCTGGTGTGTTATAATAATGCAGTGGTGTAATCCCAACTCCAGGTACTGCACAGACTACTTCAGGAGGACAAGTAGAATACAGAGCTCTGTCTGGAATTTGCTACATGGCATGGTATCATTTCGTTGGCCTTATCTGGACTAGTGAATTCATTCTTGCCTGTCAGCAAATGACGATTGCTGGGGCAGTGGTTACTTGTTACTTCAACCGGTGAGTGCAGAATTGCCCCCATATAGTTTGGGGGATTTTCCAGCATTTACTTTCAGTCTTTTTCTAGGCAGAATAGTCTCAGACTGCAATTTATGTCAATACCTTGGAATCCAATTTAATACACAATAACGTTGCTTGTTGCGAGAGCTTGAGTAAGATTTTACAATGCGTATGGTATTAATGCGACTCACCCCTACTGCTGGAGTTACTGGGCCAAATTGAGCCTCGATACAAGCCAATAGAGCTCAATTGACTCCGGTGGAATTGCCATTCGGAAGGCACAGACTGCATTTGGCCCTTTTCCAGGAGACTGCATTAGCTCCAAATGGAGATGCAATATATAGCTCCTTGGTAATTTCATGTATTCATAGGCAGTTTGACCTCTTCCAAAGCGTTCATCACTGCTCTGGGTTTCCACTTGTTCTGACTGCATAAATGCCTTGTCTGCTACTCTTCATTCTGTGCAGGTATTTTCAGTTAACTGTAAATGCCTTAGCAGCACTGTTAAGAATTGAGAGATGTCTAAACTAACTTCCTTGAATTTTACACTACCCTGAAATGTAAATATAGAAGATATGAGGAAAAACCTCTACTTTTCATGATTTATACTGGTTTTTAGACTTGCAATATTGTAAAATGAAATGAAATTGGTTTCATGCACTGGCATGGGGTTATGCTGTCATTGCGGGGGAAGATTTAAATCGCACAATACACTGTTGAGTTTTCTGACAATGAAGAGAGTAGTATCCTGAAAACAGTTTTCCTTTTAAGTATTTTATGAGCTCTCTCACCCTCATTGCTCTGTTCCTGTGTGCCCAGAGATGAGATTTTTCTGATCTGTGAAAAAACTTTGGCTTTTTAAGACATTTCTTCATTTTGTATTAGAGGAATATGGTGATAATCTCAGTTTGTTGGAAAGTTAGACCTTGAGGAAGGTGACCTGAGAGTGAGTTGGGGAGCCTGGAGCACTGCTGCAGCCGCCCGGGACCATCGGGCTCTGGCGGCTGGGAAGGGAGGCTTTGGGCTTCTCCAAAACCTAGGTAGCAGGTTTCTGTCGGTGGTCTCTAGAATGTATCCCTGGATGTTTTAGTTACTGATCGAAA